GTCAAAACTTTACCCCCACTAAATATCCACAATCATGTCTTCAAGCAACTACAACGCTGTGTCAAGCCAGGCTGCGAGTGAAAGCACTCCTGCCATCCCATTGATGATGTCGAGCATTGGGACGACCTTTGCTCCGATCACCACTGTAGGATCGATTGGCATGATCCCAATCATGTCAACCCCTACTCCTACGCCGACGGCGACAATGTTCCCAGGCTCGGTAACGACGTCTGGTGGAGCATTCACACCATACCCATCAGCTTGGGCTCAGTTTGCTGCTGACCCGGCAAATGCTCAGGCTCTACAGGGCTATCAACAGGTGATGGCCATGATGCAACAGGCAGGTGGCTTCATGCCATTTGCCTATCCCGGCATGACGCCACCAATCATGCCACCTCCGGTGTCGACCTCGTCGACATTTGTCCCTAGGATGGTCCCTATACATCCGGTGAATTTGACGGGGACTTTGAATGAAGCAGCGCCCTCAAATGTCCATGAAATCAATGAGGCGGAGCAGGAGGCGGCCCGCAGGAGGAAGGGTAAGGCTATAGCCAAACCCAGCAAGACTCGAGATTCGGCGTTCAAACGCCTAGGGGACAAAGAGGATGGACCCCGCAAGTCTGCCAAGCTACGTCTTGGTCCTGAGATGGGCCGGACTAGCGCAATGGAAAGACTTGGAGGAAGCAGAAAGCCAGTCGAGGGCGTCGGCATATACCAGGCTCTCATACGATGAGGATGACCTGGACAAGATAGGGAGCGTAGCAAGGAAATTACGTGCCCTGGAGGAAAAGGTGGAAGAGAAGGCGGGAGCGAAAAAACACACTTTGGCTAAATCTCCCTTTTCGGCTAGGGTACATGCGCAGAGGTTGAGGCGGAAGATCAAGCTGGACGTGGAGAAATTCACAGGGAAGGAGGATCCAAACGTCCACCTTGACACCTTCCACAATGCAGCACAGATGGCCGGGTGCACTGATGCTGAAGAGTGCTTGCTCTTCTTCTCATCCTTGAGAGGGATGCCAGTGGAATGGTTTAACGGCCTTCCCCATGGCAGGATTGGGTCCTTTGAGAAACTTGCTGAAGTTTTCCGCAAGAAGTACCAGGACAACTGCATCAAGAGGAAGAAATTTACCTACCTTAACACGGTAGGGCAGAGGGAGAAGGAGACCTTGACTCAATTCTTAACCCGCTGGAGGGATGAGGTTGACAAGGTAGAAGAGATGGACGATAAGACGGCCATGTCTTTGTTGATGAATGCCTTCCGGTCAGGTGACCTCTACACTGAATTCTGTAGGAGGCCGCCCTCCTCTTATCAGGAAGCCTACAATACGGCATGGGAATATGCCGAGGCAGAAGTGCTGAACAAGAATAAGCGGGAGCTGGAAGAAGGCTACACAA